ATATATATAAAATGAAACAAACGTGAATTTCTTGTTTAGACTTGGGTTGTGTTCCAGCACCCCCAAGATATTTCATTATTTATATTCAAATTATTATGGTTTGGATCTGAACTGTCCCCCCAAAACTCATGTGTTTGTTCTGTTTCAGAATTCAGCTGTTGGGAAGTGTCTGGATAATGGAGGTTCTGATTCACTGATGAATTTATACTTTGATGGAATTATTGGGAGGTAGTGGAAACTTAGGAAGTGCAGGCTGGTTGGAGGAGCAGGCCACTGGAGGATGTCCTGGAATGGTGTGCCTTGTCCCCACTCTCCTCTCTGTGTCTGTCTCTTTCTCCCTCTCTTCTTCCTAGCTGCCATGAAATGAGCAGTTTTCTTCCATCATGAACTCCCCACCATGATGTTCTGCCTTGCTATGGGCCCAAAGATGATGGAGCCAGCCAACCATGGGCTGAAACCTCTGAAACATGGAGGCAAAATCAGGCTTTCTGCCTTTAAACTGACTTCACTCAGTTATTTTGTTACAGTCACAAAGCTGACTAACATAAATATTCCAAAATCCAAAATCTTTTGCTTCCTTCTGGTTCCAAGCATTTCAGCTAACAGACACTCGATTGTGGAGGGGTATTGTACAAAGCACTTTACATGCATTATTTCATTTAGTAGTCATACAGTAATAGATATTTAAATTTTTCCTAGGGCTGGATCAGTGGTTAAGAACACTGACTGTTCTAGCAGAAGACCCGGATTCGAATCCCAGCACCCACATGGCAGCTAACAACTGTCCCATAACTCCAGTTCCAGGGGATCTGACAGCCTCTTCTGTCCTCTGAGGGCACTGCATGACATGGGTGCACTTCCCTTCATGCAGGCAATATACACGCATACATAAAATAAAAATAATAAATAAAATATTTAAAATTTTTCCTATTCCATATACCAGAAAATTGAAACTCAAGTAAGTTACTTGGAGTTATAAGATTAGTACATGCTATAGACTTATTTTTACTTCAAGTTGGTATTCTTAACCATTTATACTGCCTCAACGCTTTTCAAGCTTTTAAAAAAATCATAAAGATAAGTATGTGTTCACTGGGGAAAAAACTTTAATACAGCATTTTAAAGGGAAAAGGATACATTTACACATTCTCATTTCTCTAATTCTACTTTCCAAGGATAATCCTGATTTACTTTCTGATGCACTTTTTTCCAGTCATATACACAGTGTTTCTTTACCCTGAGCTATGTATTCTACCTATCTGGGAAGCTTTTAAGGAAAATATGGTAGCTGGACCAAAACTCACTCACTAAATAAGAAATACTGGAAGTCTGGGCATGACGGCACTCACCTGTAGGCTCAGTTTCCCAGCTGAAGCTGAAGGACTGCCTGGCAACAGGGAGGCCCTGGTAGCTAAAATTGTCAGCTATTGATGACAACACAGTATCTAGGTCCCTTTCCTGTCTCATCTGTGGGTTCTCCTTCCTAAAGCAGAGGCACATTTAGAATCTTATTTTCCCTCAGTTTTAAATCTTTTGTCCATGTTAAATTATTAGGACTCAGTAACTGAAAATCTTCCACATATAATTACCAAGACTCTTGGTAACTCCTAAACTGATGTTCAAGTCTTGAAGGTAAAACGTGCCATTCTCAACGAGGATCTGGCTTCAACATGTAAACTCGACCAGAACTGAGAACACTGGCAGCAGGTCCCAGCACAGAAGCTACACAGAGAAAACTGTGTGAAGGAGGTGTGGGAGAGAGAATGAAGGGAGTAAGATGATGCTGCCAAGAATGAGTTTCTAGGATTTAGGCTGAGTAGATAAGAGAGACATAGGAAAGGGAGGGTCTAAAAGTAGATTTTCCGAGGTGGAGAGATGGTTTAGAGGTAAGAGCACTGGCTGCTCTTACAGAGGACCGGGTTTGGTTCCCAGCACCCACATGGTGGGTAACAACCATCTGTAACTCCAGTTCCAGGGGATCTGATGTCGTTTTCTGACGTCTGTGGGCACAGCACATATGCACATACATACATGCAGACAGTATACTCATACACATAAAATTAAAAAAAAATAAAAAAATTAAATGCAAAAGTGGGTTTTCAGAAAATGTGTAGTTTCTCTTCTCTCTGTTTCAGACCAAGAAGTGGAGATTCAGTAATACTAGATGATTTGCTCAATGTTCCAGGAGTCTGACTTGAAAGCACATTTCATTACATGGCAGAGTTAATTAAACTTCATATGGGCTTAGGTTTTTTGTTTTTTTTTTAAAGCAATGGCCATCATAATCTGGCCCTAAACCTCATCACCTGCCCAACGTCATGTCCCACGCTCTCTGGTGCAAACATACTGCTGCAGTGAGGTCATCCGCTGGACATTCTACACACACTCTTGTTCAGGCTCCATGTCAAAGATTAGAATGAAGTCTCTAAGTCTCAGTCAATCTTTAAAGACCAGACAATCTTCCCCATTTATCCTAGTCCATGAGGATATGTTCCTTTGTTTTTGCCAAAACAAACAAGAAACAAAAACACCTAGATCTACACTACCTTGCACCTCTTTCCAAATGTAATATATGTTCCTGCTCTCCCAATAAGAATTTCCCTAAGGAGGAGGCTGGAGAGATGGCTCAGCTGTTAAGAACACTGGCTGTTCTTGCAGAAGACCTGGGTTCAGATCCCAGCACTCACATGGCAGCTAACAACTGTCCATAATTCCAGTCCCAGGGGACCTGACAGCTGCTTCTGACATCCACTGGCACTGCATTACACGGGTGCATTCACCAACATGCAGGTAATACATGCATACACATAAAATAAAAATAATAAATAGGCCGCACACCTTTAATCCCAGCACTTGGGAGGCAGAGGCAGGCGGATCTCTGTGAGTTCAAGGTCAGCCTGGTCTACATAGTGAGTTCCAGGACAGCTGGGGCTACAGGGAGACCCTGTCTCAAAAAGACCAAAAAAAAATTAATAATAATAATTAAATAAACAAATAAATAAAATTAAAAAAAAAAGAATTTCCCTAAGGAAAGAGACTGGTATTTTAAACTCATTTCCTCGCTTCCACAGTAAGGGGGCACCCCTTAGAGTAGAGCAGTGTTTGCTGCGCATCCTTTTATTTATCTTTAATCACTGTGATGTACCAAAGCAGAGCAGAACTAAAGTCAATCAAGGTAGGAAAGCCATATTTATTTACCAGATTGTGCCTGATGAGTTCTTTAGCAAATTCAAAGGGTGAAGAGGCATTGTCCATCAAGCTTTTGAGTTCTGCCTGAAATATAAAAAGGAAAGACTTAAGAAAGTAACAAGTATATAGTCCAGCAAGTACTAAAGATGACCAATGAGGTGCCTAGGGACACTTAAGAAGCTGCTCACTGTGTGCAAATGGTGAACATGCCACTTAGATTCTGTGCCAAGACAGCTTGCCTGCCTCATTCCAGTCCTGGTCTCACAGCCCCTGAGAGGTTGTCAGGGCCCAGGGGTCCCATAGCATACTTTTACAGCTAATTCAAATAAGGTTAGCTAGATTACTTAAATCAATGTTCCTCCTGAAAACAACTAAAAAAAAAATTATAAAACATTTTTAGGGGTTGGAGAGATGGTTCAGCACTGTTCTTGCAGAAGACCCGGGTTCGAATCCCAGCACCCACATGGCAGCTAACAACTGTCCGTAACTCCAGTTTCAGGGGATCCAACAGCCTTTTCTGTCTTCTGTGGGCACTGCCCAACATGGGTGCACTTACCTACATGCAGACATAACACTCATACATATAAAATAATAAAATATTTTAAAAAAATTTTTTTAAACACAGCACAGAGCCGGGCATGGTGGCGCACACCTTTAATCCCAGCACTTGGGAGGCAGAGGCAGGCGGGTCTTCGTGAGTTTGAGGCCAGCCTGGTCTACACAGTGAGTTCCAGGACAGCTGGGGCTACAAGTAGACACTGTCTCAAAAAAACAAAAACAAACAAAAAAAAAAACCACACACACACACACAAAAAGCTAAAACACAGAACAAAAACGACAAGAAAGTAAAGAGTTATATCAAACATGAAGGGAAAAAGCAGAACCCAGAGAAAAATTATAGAAACCATTTTGTCCTGGAGGTTTTATGGATCCTGTAAAAGTATTTTTTTGTGCGCACGCGCGCGCGCACACACACACACACACACACACACACGCACGCACACACATATTTGGTTTATTCTTTGAGAATTTCAGAAAAGTATATAATGTATTTCTTAAATTAGAATTTTCAGCCAGGCATGGTACCTGGTACCAAGTCAACACTTGGGAGACTGAAGTAGGAGGACCAGGAGCAGGCCAACCTGGGTGACTAGAAAGATCCTGTTTCAAAAAACCAACAGCTGAGCCAGGAGTGGTGGCACATGCCTTTAATTCTAGCACTGGGGAGGCAGAGACAGGCAGGTCTCTGTAAGATGGAGGCCAGCCTGATAGACACAGCAAGCTCCAGACCAGCTGGGGCTACAAGAAGACCTTGTCTCTCAAGAAGCCAAAAACCAAACCCCTAAAAAACAAAAAACAAAAACAAAAAAGAAAGAAAAAACAAGGGCTTGAGAGTAGTTCAGTAGTAGAGCACTTGCCTAGCAGCACAAGGCCAGTACAATAACTCAAGTTTGGTCACCAGAACCCATGTAAAAAAAACCTGGGCATGGGGAGCTGGAGAGATGGCTTAGCATGCTGGTTAAGAGCACTGGCTGTTCTTGCAGAAGATCCAGGTTCATATTCCAGCACCCACGTGGTGGCTAAAACAACCATCCATAACTCCAGTTCCAGGGGATCTGATGCCCTCTTCTGTCCTCTGTGGGTGTTGCATGACACAGGTGCATTTACTTACATGCAGGCATAATACTCAGAAACATAAAATTTTTAAACTTATATTTAAAAAAGAAAAAGCTGGGCATGGTGGCATGCCCTTGTAACCTCAGGACTGGGGGAGGTAGGGACAGGAGGATCTCTAGGGCTGTCTGGCCAGCTAATCTAGCCCACTGAGCAAGTTCCAGGCCAGTTCCTGTCTCAATGGATTATATACATGCATGAAATTTTCAAAGAACAAATTTCAATAATAAAAACAAAAAAACAAAACAAAATCCAAGGTGAATGGCACCTGAGGAATGACACCTGAAGTTGACCTGTAGCCCTCATATGCACATGTGCACACACACACACCTGCATACATGTGTACCCACCTAAACACACAGCACTCCCCCTAAAAAAAGTAAGAGAAACAAATGGACTCTATGGTGGATAACCAGGAGAAAAAGACAAAACAGAACTGAATCAAGTTTCAGAAATTCAAACTCGTTACAGAACAACTACACTGATAAGTTCAAGAAAATAAAAGCACAATAGAAGAAAACTGTAGAAAGTGAAGATTTTTGTTAAAAGCAAAAGCTTCTAGAAATTTAGACTATTAGTAATGAAATTAATAACTAGATAGTCATTGCTTTATAAATGAAAAAAGATGGCCTATGCACATTGGTCCTGGGTTTTAAAAAATATTTATTATTTTAATTTTATGTGTATGAGTGTGTTGCCTGCATGTATGTAAGAGCCTCCCTGCCATGCAATGCCCACAGAGGTCAGAAGAGATCCCCTGGAACTGGAACTACAGTGGGTTGTTAGCTGCCATGTGGGTGCTGGGAACTGAACCAGGGTCCTCTGAAAGAGCAGCCAGTGCTCTTAACCATCTCTAGACATACATTAAAAGGAATAAACATCATGACCAAGTGAAATTTACCTCTGGAATATAGGGGAGTTTAACATTTAAAACTCAATGTGGGGCTAGAGAGATGGTGCAATGGTTAAAGAGTACTGGTTGCTCTTGCAGAGGACCCAGATTCAGTTCCCAGCACCTACATGGTGGCTAGAACTGTCTATAATTCCAGTTCCAGGGGATCTGATGCCCTCTTCTGACCTCCATGGGCATCACATAACATGGGTGCAAAACCCTCATACACATAAAATTAAAATAAAATTTTAAAAACTTTTTAAAAAGCTGGGCATGGTGGTGTATGCCTTTAGTCCCAACACTCAGGAGGCAGAGGCAGGCAGATCTCTGTGAGCTCAAGGCCAGTCTGGTCAACATAGTGAGTTCCAGGTCAGCTGGGGCTACAGGGAGACCCTGGCTCAAAAAAAGACCACAAAAAACAAATAAATAAGTAAAAACTTTTTAAAAGTCAGGCCATGCATCAATTACTATAATATACCAAATCATTAGCATTAAAAAAGTACACAACAGTTTTAACACAAAAAAAGTTAATAAACTAACTCATGATTTAAAAAAAATTTTTTTTTAAACTAGAACTAGAGGGAAATTTCCTGCACCTGAAAAAGAACATTTATAAAACTCCCATAGCTAGCCTTGTACTCGATGGTGAAAGGTTGGATGCTTTCCATCTAGGCTCAGGAACAAGGCAAGGATGTCTGTTCGCATCACTGCTATGCAATATTTATTGGAGGTTCTAGCCAGGAAAATTAGATAAGGAAAGAAAACAGGATACGTGAAGGCTAGAAAGACAGTAGTAAAATTATCCCCACTCACGGACATGATTCCAAACACAGAAAACCCCCAAGTCCAATAACCTATTTCAGGATGTAAGATCTATGTGTAAAAAATCAATAGTATTTTACTTACATGCAATTAGCAACTTAAAAATGAAATTAATGAAGTAACTTTATTTATAACAGCTTCAAAAGGCATACAATAGTGACATATGTAATACAAGAAGTATAAAACTTATCTCTTAAAAGCTATAAAATAAAGCCGGGCATGATGGTGCACACCTGTAATTCCAGCACTTGAGGTCTCACCCAAAGGAGAGAACCACTTCCTGCAAAGTGTTCTCTGACCTCCATACAATGTCCTAGCACAGGCCCTCCCATACATATCACATATACATAATAATAATAAATTTTAAAACTAGTTAAAAAAGAATTTATGTAAGCATACCATAGAAATTACAATAAAGAAAGCACTTAGCATAAAGAAGATGATTAATAAATTTGACTTTCAAATTCAAGTTAGAATGCCTGATTTTAAATGGCCTAATAAGATTATCATAATTTGGGGCTAGAGAGATGGTTCTGAGGTTAAGAATGCTTGCTACTTTTACAGAGGACCCAGGTTCAGTTCCCAGCACTCACATCAAGAGGCTCAAAACTGCCTATTATTCCAATTGCAGAGGATCTGGTGCCTTTGCAGGAACACACATATATATATACATAAATAATAAATAAATGTCTTTAAAAAGATTATCATAATGTAATACAGATTATAGTAGATTGCTATAAAAGGTGGAGGGCAGAGGTCCTGAGTTGTCTTTGAAGATAGCCAAAGCAGATAAGCCATCTCCTGCTGGGATGCATTAAAAATTAACATGTAAACTGCACTGACACAATTTCAAGGAAGAAAGCATACTTCCTGATACTAGGAAGTACAGTGTGCTGTCTTGGACAGCTCTAGGACCACAGAACACTGACTTCCCATACTACCCAAACCACACTGTACAGAAAGAGCATGTGCAGTTAAAACATAAACATTTAATAAAGTGTACCTCATATAAAACTAGAAACATCCCCAAGAATGATTCAAGGTGGGAAGGCAAGAACATATGTCTTTTGTTTGCTTTTACCCAAAGGGTGGAATACTAAAGAGAATCAAATTACAAATCCAGTCCCTCAGCCAATAAAGCTAACTTGGGATTCTTAAATTGAAATGACTATTACTCCAAGAATGTGCTTTACAGAGCTTAACTGCATACTCATTCATTTAATTGATGGAAACTTAGCCATAACTGAACACCCTTATCTATGCAAGCCACAGAATGAGAACCTGTGCATGTGTCCTCCACCCCATACCCTTACTCTCTAGTCCCTGAACCCTGCCATACACAGGAGATGGATCTCCCATCAATGTGAAATGGGCCCATGGTGCTCCTTGCTGTTATATCTGTTGATAAATTTTGCTTTGAAGGCCTAGGGATGTGGCTGAGTTGGTACAGTGCTTGCATGAGGCCCCTGGGTTCAATCCTCAGCACCACATGAACTGGATGTGGTGGTTCATACCTGTACTTCCCACACTCAGAAGGTAGATGCAGGAGGATCAGAAGTTCAAGGTCATCCTTGACTATACAGGAAGTTCTAGGTCAGTCTGAGATACAGTAAACCTTGTCTCAAAAAAAAAAAAATGTTTTGATGTGGGACATGGTGGTGCACACCTTTAATCCCAGCACTTGGGAGGCAGAGGCAGGCTGATCTCTGTGAGTTCAAGGCCAGCCTGGTCTACATAGTGAGGTCCAAGCCAGCTGGGGCTACAGGGAGACCCTGTCTCAAAAAAAAAAAAAATTATATAAGTAGTTTCTCATAAAATCACCAAAAGGTATTAATCAGGAGTTGCAGAGACTAGAGTTGAATAAATAATTTAGAAGTGATCTATAAAGTAATGCACATTGGAACTGAGCCAATTAGAAGCCTGTTTACATCCCTACCTCAGCTGCTTTGCCATTGTAAAGGCGAAAATGATTGCAAGCCTTAAGATTGAGTGCGATGGTGCTATCAGGAATTTGCTGAAGGTAAACAGCCAGAACTTCTTGAGACACATCATGGTAGTCCAGTTTGTAGTAGCAGAGGGCCACATACACATTGAGGGCAAGATATTCCCTGTTGGAGGAAAGGATCGAGGGTTAATAGTTTAAGTATATGCCATCGAAACATTGCCTAACTATAAAGTGCAGATGAATAATAAGGCAATGAGAACAGGCAAGAACTTGTCTTGGAAAGAAAGCAAAACACAATCAGTGCATCTCTCTTTCTTTTAAAAGATTTATTTTTGTGTGTATGTGTGCGTGTTTGTGTGTCTGAACATGTGCATGTGAGTGCCCTGGGAGGCCAGAAGAGGGTATCAGATACCCTGGAGCTTGAGTTACAGGTGGTTGTGAGCCATTTGATTGATGTTGATGCTGGAAACCAAACCTAGGTCCTCTGTGAGAGCAAGTGTTCTTAATCACTGAGCCATCTCACCAGCCCCCCTTTTTCTCTTTTTGCATTGTAAATTTCAATGTTTTTTAAATAAGCATTGATATATTTATCTTTTTTAAAGTTTGCTATTAGCATATATTAATTACATATCATGGGATGCATTACAACATCTTCATATATATATATATCATGTATTTTGATCATAGTCACCTCCGTTATGCTCTCTTCTCCCCTTCTCACTCCCACTGATCTTCCTTCTTGTCAACTAGTTTCCCCTCTATACTGATGTCTTTTTGTGTATGTGTGTGAACCAATGAGCTTAATTAAGGTTACCCATAGGGGCAAGGATTAGGGGTTACTTATAGGAGCATAGGCAACTTCTCAATGGCTACCACTGAAGAAAATGTCTCTCCCCCAGGAACTGTTAACTGCCCACATATCCTTAGGGAGGATGGAGCCCCACGGGCCCACCCCCATAAGTCATGCCACTACTGCACCAGTGGGTCCATCTTGTCTGACATGCTGGGAGTATAGTACATAAGTCCACAGCTGACTGAGAGTGTTGATGAAAATTCTCCCCTGGCAGTTGGCATAGAACCTTCAAACATTGTGAAAGCTAACCAGGAGAGGAAGCTTCCACCTCACTTTCAGTTAGATTTCTCTGTATCTTACAAGCAAAACGTGGTGTCCTCAGCAACAAGGTCTTACCATCTAGTTCTAGTGAGCAACCAACAGCAGTGTCTATATTATTTTAGACACTATGGGGCTTTAGGGTCTCCACAGTCAACAACTCATAGGGATATAGCTGGCCCTGGGATTTTCATTTAATAACCTTACAGCTTCTGGGAATGGCTTTATCCGCTAAGCAGGATCCCTCCAGAGGGCTCAAACTCTTATTATTTTAAAAGTAACTAACAAAGTATCAGGTTTTGTTTAGGGTTTACATACTTAGTTTTGTGGCTCTTCCCTCAACCTCCTCCTCTCTTTACCTCTGTGCTCCTCATCCTTGCTTAAATCTTTCCACTCTCATATCGCACACGTTCTCCTGCAGCTCTCCCTGCTTCCTTCCAGCCTATTCTCTCCTGGCCTTTACACGCACTCATTCCCATCGCTCCTACTTCATGTATATATATGAAGCTAGGATCTACATAGGGAAGAAAACAGAGAGAATGTGCAGTGCTTGTGTTGTTGAACCTGTATTACTTTACTTAATATTTTCTAGTTCCATCATTTTTCTGCAAATTCCATAATTTCATTTTTCTTTATAGCTATATTAGTTATTTTTCTGTTGCTGTGATAAAAACATTGACCAAAGCAACTTACAGAAGGAAGAATTTATTTGGCTTAGGGTTCTGAGGGATTAGAATCCACAATGGTGGGGAAGGGATGGTGGCTGGAACAGAAAGCTCAGCACTCACATCTTTAAGCAGACACAGGAAGCAGAGAGCAACTAGAAATCTGGCAAGGTTTAAGAACTCTCAGACCACCCCCAGTGACGTGCTTCCTCCAGCAAGGCTGCACCTCCTAAAACCTCCCAAACAGCATCACCAACTGGGGACAAACAGTCCAAATACTCGAAGCCTATGGGAGACAGCCTCATTCAAACCACCAGAACAGCTGAATAAAATTTCATCATGCTTATGAAATACATAAAACTTCGATAAAATTTTTCAAAATTTCATTGTACGTGTATACATTTTCATTATCCATTCATTGGTTGATGGATATTTCCTGATTCCATTTCCTTCTAAGCTAGCAAACACAGTGATAGGTTTCACTATCATATTTTCATACGTGTCGTTAGAATTTGTTCTAATTTGTCCTCCTCCCCAGGACCATACATTTTCAAAGGTGTGAAAATTAGTGTCTATGGGAAGGTGAAAAGCAAACAACCCCCATACCAATTTTATATAAAAGCGCACGTGCATATTTTAAAAACACAAACATATATTATTCTCTTATTAGTAAATATATCAGTATATTAAATTTCATGGTGGACAATTGGAAAAAAAAATGTCTAAAAAGGCTCCTTAGGGGCTGGAGAGATGGCTCAGTGGTTAAGAGCATTGGCTGTTCTTGCAGAAGATTTGGGTTTGAATCTCAGCACCCACATGGCAGCTAACAACTGTCAGTAACTCCAGCCTCTCTGTCCTCTGGGGGCACTGTATGATGATGATGATTATTATTATTATTATTTGGTCTTTTTTGAGACAGGGTCTCCTTGTAGCCCCAGCTGTCCTGGAACTCACCTGGCCTCGAACTCATAAAGATCCGCCTGTCACTGCCTCCCAAGTGCTGGGATTAAAGGCATGCGCCACCACGCCCGGCAAATAAAAATATTTTTTTTTAAAAAAAAGGCTCCTTAAAGAGTGATCATGAAAAAGACAGAAAGCTTGATTCAAACAATTCTAAGGTGTTCTTACCTTATATTATCAACTAAAGAGATTTGAACACATGGTGATATTAGATCCAAAGGTACTTAGCCAAACCAGGTAAAAAGAAAAGTAACAAATAGAAGAGGAGACAAAGAACACAGACCTGTTATCCAGCAGTATCCGTTTATATATATCAATGGCTTCTTGGTAATGAGATCTCATATAGTGGATTGAGGCCAAACTGAGTTGGTCTTCTTTGATATCCTGAAGATTCTGATGAAAGTTCATCAATTTTTTCTCATCATTAAACTGAAATAAGAAGACATGTACAGAGTCACATCAGTGTACAGTCACACATGATGGAGATTTGAATTCCTTCTCTGGGACTATGTAAGTTTCTCAGTTTCTGGTCTTTTGTGTCCTGCTTTAGAGAAAGAACATACATTCTCTCAGGAAATAGCCTCGGGCCATGGAAAACCTGCAAGTTACAGCTAGTATTTATTTTATTTGAGACAGGGTCTCCCTGTAGCCTCAGCTGGCCTGGAACTCACTATGTACACCAGGCTGGCCTTGAACCCACCTGCCTCCCTAGTGCTAGAATAAAAGGCATGTGCCACCACACCTGGCTATCTTTATCCATTCTTATTTCTTTCTCTTTGGTAGTATGTAATCAAAATGTATTTATCATCATGTAATTTAGTGAACACAATTTTAAATTTTCTGTTGTTTTTTATCTTCTCTTCAGTTACCACGTTTCAGATTATCAGGATTTCATTCCAAACTCTTTTCTTTTTAAAAGATTGATTTTATTTTTAATTATGTAGATATGTGTATGTGTTCACGTATGGGCATATACATGTGAGTACAGGTGCCTGCTGAGGCCAGGGGTGTCAGATCCCCTAGAGCTGTAGTTACAGGTCGTTATGAGCTATCTGACATGGGTGCTGGGACTTGGGTCCTCTGGAAAAGCAGTACATAATCTTGACCACTAAGCCATCTCTTAAGCCCCTGCTTATTTTCTTAGTGGCTGAAAATTAACAGCTGTCTTTGTTTATACACTGGGTTGAACAAATATGTTTTAAAAATATTTTATTATTTTTATTTTGTATGTTTATAAAGCCTGAGTATGTGTAAGTGCACCATATGTGCAATGCCCATGGAAGTAAGAAGTGGGCACTGGAGTTACAGATGTTAGCCACCATGTGGGTGCTGGGAACCGAACTGCGGTCCTCTGCAAAAGCAGCCAGTGCTCTTAACTGCTGAGCTATCTCTTCAGCCCCCAAATACATTTTTGTATGAAAGCCTTAATATATTAAATTTTCCCTCCTGATTGGTGCTTCTCTTTTTAAAGAATCTGTTTCCAAAACAGGGTACTAAAAAATAACTGCCTTCAGTGGGGGTTCTGAAGCAGGGCACTCCCTCTTTTGCCAAGAGGGAAACCACTATTGAAGGATGATGCCACCCTCTAAAGGGGGATGGGCCCTCAGCTCCAGTGATGGCTGCTCAAGGATCACTGATAAGAACCCCACTCAAGACAACTTCAGGTAACCATTGAGACACCCTGGGTACTTTTGAGAGTGACAGGTGAAAAATGTTAATTTAATTTTCAACATGAGGGCCTTGTTTACTACCTTTATTGATAATCCAGGATCCCTTTCTAAACAAATTTGCATAGTAACCAGTGTTGATGGTAATGCCCCCAAACCAAGGGAGTTATTGTTGTCAACCCCAGCCTTGAAATTCTCCCATATATAACAAAAACACAAAAGATAATACTGACAGTCCTCCCCTAAAGGACCCAGCTAGACTATATAACTAAGCTAGGATGCTTACAAACCATAAAAGCCTGCAATAATGCTCTGAAACTACAGGCATGGCTTTGATACCTATGTTCTAGAATTAAATATAAGTCTATCTTACAAAAAAAACAAGAATACAAACAAAACAAAACAAAAAAAGAAACTGCCGGGTGTGGTGGCACACACCTTTAATCCCAGCACTCGGGAGGTAGAGGCAGGTAGATCTCTGAGTTCAAGGCTAGCTTGGTCTACATAGCAAGATCCAGGCCAGCTGGGGCTACAGGGAGACTGTGTCAAAAAATACCAACAACAAGGAGAGGCCAATGAGATGGCTTAGTGGGTAAATGCACTGCTGCCAAGCCTGACAACCTGAGTTCAATGACCAGGACCCATGTGGTGGATGGAGAGAACAGACTTCTGCAAGTTGTTGCATGCACGCGCACGTGCACGCACACACACACACAAATCTAAAAATGAAAGCAAACAAAAAAGTCCACCCAACAACTCACTTTAAGCTAAGTAGAAGGACTAGTAAATTCAAGAGAAACATGATTCTCTCCAGACAGATCAACAGTTGTAACTTTCCTTCCAATGTTTACTTCTTCTTTTAGACACTGCTGGCATAATATACATCAATGATTATAACCTCATAATATTTTATTTTCAATTTATTTCACCATTGGATTCCTTCTTAAAATTGTTCTTTTTTATTTTGCCATAGTATCAACATCAGTATGTCCTTTTTTAAATTTTTTTGGTTTTTTTGAGACAGGGTCTCCCTGTAGCCTCAGCTGGCCTGGAGTTCACTATGTAAACTAGGCTGGCCTTGAACTCAGAGATCTGAAGGCCTCTGCCTCCTGAGTGCTGGGATTAAAGGCGTGTGCCACAGGCCCAACTAGTTATTTTTATAGTCCATGGGATATGATGAGGACAGTTGTCATACAAGGCTGGATGGTCTTTGATATATTGACAACACAAGGGAGAAGCTGTGCTATTATTAAAATAGAATGTTGTATATTTTTACCTAGACAATGTGTCTTCAACCTTCTCTGATTTACATACTCAAATTAGATGTCAGATTCTGCTTTAAGCTTTAAAAGCTTGGGTCCTAAGCAAGAGCAGCCAGTGCCTCCTGATGGAAGAAGGCTTTGCTGTTTGGGACACTAATCTTCAGACTGAGCATAATAATCTGCTGCATGAAGTATTGTCTATGTGGTTTCATGTCCCAAGGCATGGCATCTTTCATTTCAGGTTGGATGATGATCTTCTGGACCCCCTCTCCCAGTTCCAAAGATCTTCCATGTCTACCTTAGAGCCCAGAGGTTGAGAATTCTAATCTCTTCACTCTTTGTTCAGCTATGAAAAAGTTATAAAGGATGGATATTCAGCCTTCTGCAACCCTTAAGATTAAGGGATTGAAGTCCAAGATGGGGAAATGAGTCAGGACAGTAAAACAGGGAATTATGGTGAAATGGTGAGAAGAGGCTGGAAGAGGGAGGAGAATCTGGTTCTGGGATCTGATCTGCTTTTACCACTGAGAAAGGCAAGAGGCTTCAGACCTCTCTGATAATGACCTAATGATTCAAAGAGGTAATATGTGTTTTCCAAAAGACATTTTGAATTGTGTTCACATAGGGCCAGATGACTTTAGATGCCATGGATAGCAACTGAATGGTTCAACATGACACTATGTGTTTTCCAAAAGGCATCTTGTCAGAGACATAAGTAAAAGAGACATACCTAGGGCCAGATGATGCATTCCAGAGACTCCTCAATTAAGGTTGTCAAAGACAGCAATTAGGCTGTGCTTTCTTGGGGCTAAAATGATGTATAACCTTACGTTCCTAGGACGCCTCTCTCCTAGACCTAAATGATGCCCCTCAGAAATTCACCTTTTTTATTATTTTTATTTTATGCGTATGAGTATATTGCCTGCATGTATGTAAGTGCGCCTGTGTTGTACAATGCTCATGGAGGTCAGAAAAGAGCATTAGATTCTCCTGGAACTAGAGTTAGGGCAGTTGTTAGCTGCCATATGGGTGCTGGGAACTGAACTTGGGTCCTAAGCAAGAGAAGCCAGTGCTTTTAACTGCGGAATCATCTCTCCAGACCCTCACTTTCCAACTTTTATCCTTCTTACAAATGATAGTCTTGGGGCTAGATAATAATGGTTCAGCAGTTAAGAACACTTACTGTGCTTGCAGAGGACCAGAGAGGGAGAGGAAGAGAGGGAAAGTTAAAAAAAAAAAAAAGATAAAAATTTAAGACTAGAAGAGAACAAAATACAGAGATCCTGATCTTTGTGTATATTTTTACTTTTATTATTTTTTGAAAGTATATAATGAAACGTATTATTTTTAATCTGAAGAACACAAAATATTTCTTAAAATAAAATAAAAACTTCCACTTCTGGTAATAGAGCTGCTTATAGCACATTCCTCTCAGCAAGAACAACCAGAAGCTTAAAACTACTAGAAATCTGTGTGAAGCCATCAAAGAGCTACCAAGCTAGTAAAAACCCGAGATACCAAGACCTCAAGAGAACGAATGGACAGGGATGTAAGGCTGATACTCAGCAACAGTTCTCTTTCAAACATTTGTTAATACTCAATTGGTGACTAAGACTCTGAAAACTAAGCACAGCTTTAAAAAGCCTTATGTTAAAAGTTAGAGGCCAGGGCCTACCAAGACTATCAATTACAGGCCCTGGAGAACCACTCCAGTAATAGAGGTAAAGTGAAAACAGACCAGCTCTCAGAAAAACTAAGGACCAGCTTTAACTCAGTGAAATTCCTGGCAGGCACCAGTTGATTTGTTCTTATTTTATGTGTCTTCCAGAAGCAAAGGAAATCCTCTGCGGAAGAAGAAAATTATGCAGAACCTCAAAATTATATTTACATGCACTCATCTACAATAGCCAGAATTCAATGAGAAATTACCAAGAGTACTAGGAGATAAGACCAAAACCAGCTATCAGAATTATTAGACATAAGACTTAAAATAACTGTTATCCATATGCTTAAAAATAAAAATTTGTAGCCAGGCATAGAAGCACACATCTTTAATCCCAGCACTCAGGAGGCAGAGGCAGGTAGATCTCTGTGAGTTCAAGGCCAGTCTGGTCTATATAGTGAGTTCCAGGTTCTACATAGTGAGTTCCAGGTTCCAGGCCAGCTGGGGCTAGAGGGAGACCCTGTCTCAAAAAGACCAAATTAAAAAAAAAATTAGGGAACTTTAATTAAGAATTTAAAATAGCTGGGCGTGGTGGTGCACGCCTTTAATCCCAGAACTCGGGAGGCAGAGGCAGGTGGATCTCTGTGAGTTCAAGACCAGCCTGGTCTACATAGTGAATTCCAGGCCAGCTGGGGCTACAGGGAGACCCTGTCTTAAAAAGACAAAAAACAAAATCATTTTATGCTGATAAAAATTACTGTCACAAGGCAATCCTAAAAATATGTACTTATTGCCAGGAGTTAGAAGGTGTCTGAGTCTGTTTCCTAAGAGATAATAGGACAATTGATTCACACAAACCTTCTTCAATGACTAGTGGTTGAAGAGAATGAAAACCTAGCATCTCTCAATAAATTAGGAGGGTTAAAACATGAATGGGGGAGAAAAATCCCATTAAATTAATCTACATTCCATTTATTCTAGCAATACCATTAACAGAACTTTCCACTGCTGGTAAAAAAGAAGAGGGAAATTTTTTTTAATTTAATTTATTTTTATTTTATGTGTATGAGTGTTTTTCCTGCACACATGCAAATGCATGTGTGTGCAATACTCACAGAGGCCAGAAGAGGTGTCAGATCCCTTGGAACTAGAGTTATAGACAGGTGTTAGCCACCATATAGGTGCTGAGAACCAAACTACAAAAGTAGTCAGTGCTCTTGATTGCTGAGCCACATGTCCAGCCTCTAGGAAAAAAAAAATTGGGGGGGGGGCGTCTTTTTCCTCCCTGTAGCCCCAGCTGTCCTGGAACTCACTATGTAGAGGCTGTCCTGCCTGCCTCTGCCTCCTGAGTGCTGGGATTAAAGGTGTGCGCCACCACTCCCAGCCCTAGAAAAATATTTTTAAAGCAAGAAATGTGGAATGAAAACATAAATACCTTGTGAGCCAAGTGGAACAGCAGGCGATTTTGGAGCCGGCTTTTTGGAGCTGAAAAAAAAAAAAAGACCCAAGAATTAAAGAATTCGGTAGTTCATGGAACTTAGTTTCTTACAAGAATGAGACTCAGGTAGATCTCCCTGGCAATATGGGGGGCTGAAGAGATGGCTCAGAGGTCAAGAGCACTGACTGCTCTTGCAGAGGACCCGGGTTCAATTCCCAGTACCCACATGGTGGCTAACAATGTCTGTAACTACAGTTCCAGAGGACCTGACACCCTCTTTTGACCTCTTTGGGTATTGTATGACATGGGTGCACCTACCTACATGCAAGCAGTACACCCATACACATCAAATAAAACTATTAAAAAATTTTATATGGAAATAGAGATAGATACTTTGACCACCCTCTAGGCACAGAGTCTAGAAACATGAGATTTATCCTAAAGTACTTTGAGACTACACTAATATATATGAAAAAAATGAATACAAATTAAGGCTTCAGATTCCCCATTTCCTTGAAAAAAATGGAGGAGACTATATATATGAATTCTATCCTGAAACATATTTTTCCCCTAAAAGATTTATTTATTTACATTTTAAAAATTGATTTATATTTTATGTGTGAGAGGTTTAAATTATAGGTCTATGATCCTGAAAGAAAGGGAGACATGGATTCAATTGAATGTGACAATAAACCTTCGGAATGTGGAACCATCCATAAGAATGTTAGAAGGAAAAATTCAAATCAAAGGCATTGCTTCAAGCCTTTATGAAAAGTTCTCACATGGGAGGCAACTGAAAGATTATTTTCAGGATGTCAGGGAAGATGAGTCCCAGGTCAGGTTTCAGTTTCACAGTGTCAGTCATGGAGCTTGAGTTGGCAGGATTACTTATCAACATTACTCAGTCTTTTGGCATAGTTTATGAACTTTTTGAATAGGTAATTTTCTAATTGTTAGCTATGCTTTCAAGGTTTTTTTGTTCATTGGTTTTTTTTGTTGTTGTTGTTGTTCTTTTTTGAGACAGGGTCTCCCTGTAGCCCCAGCTGGCCTGGAACTCACTATGTAGATCAGGCTGGCTTGAAACACAGAGAACTGCCTGCCTCAGCTAGGATTAAAGGTATGCGCTACCATGTTCAGCTGAATGTTTTGTCACTATTTATTTACATGTACTCCCTGGGTACAATGTCCTCAGAGGCCAGAAGAGGGCATCAAATCCCCAAGAATCAGTATTTCAAGCTGTTATAAGCGGCTGGGAGCCCAGCCCCAGGTCTTCCACAAGAGCAGCCAGTGCTTTTAATCCCTGAGCCATCTCTCCAGACCCCCTAACAGATTTCTTAACGAATATTTCCTTGCCCATTTTCTCAGCTTTTCCTTAACTTTATGTTCTAGTTATTCTTCATCTCTTCTTCCATGTTTCTCTTTCTCATTTGCAAATTTGAATACCATTCTGAGCGACTGTCACAAGTAAGAAAGGGAAGCCCACCGGGTTCCTTAGGTGGTGGTCAAGGTGCCTCACTCAGAAGCTGGTGGCTGTAAACCCCACAGCCAGAAGAGCTTGAGCGACATGCCTCTCGGCTGCACTAGCAGCACTGCCCCTCAGTGTGGGGCCTTTGAAAGGCACCTCTCATCCTTCTGCTTTGGGGTTGTACATTCTTGAGTTGAGGCAGGGTGACAAGGGAGAGAACAGGGAGAATTAACTCTTTAAATATAAAATTAATCAAATAATTTTTTTTTGAATAGCAAAGTTACTTTTTTGTTCTCAAATGTTTGCTGTTGGAGTTGAGATTTAGTACAGTGGTAGAGTATTTGCCTAGCAAGTACTGGGTCCTGGATTAAGTCTCTAGTACCCAGCAGACAACAAAATACCCCCACTAGATTTAAAAAATGAAACTTCTGGCGGGCACACTGGTGCCTGCCTTTAATCCCAGCACATGGATCTCTATGAATTTGAGACCAGACTGGTCTACACAGCAAGTTCCAGGCCACCTGGGGCTGCAGGGAAACCCTGTCTCCCCTGTCTCAAAAAGACCAAAAAAAAAAAAAAAATTTCATGGACTGGAGAGATGGCTCAGTGGTTAAGAGAACTTGCTGCTCTTGCAGAGGATCCAAGTTCTATTCCCAGCACCCACATCAGGTGGCTCATAACCCCCATAACTCCAGCTCCTAGGGGGACCTGATGCATCTGGCCTCCTTGGGCACCTGCACTCATGTGCACATATCCACACAGAGATATACACACATACACATAATTTTTTTTTTTTTTTTGGTCTTTTTGAGACAGGGTCTCCCAGTAGCCACAGCTGGCCTGGATTCACTATGGAGACCAGGACGGCTTTGAATTCAGAGATCCACCTGCCTCTGCCTCCCCAAGTGCTGGGACTGAAAAAAAAAACTTGGCAGGCGTGGTGATGCATGCCTTTAATCCCAGCACTTGGGTGACAGAGGCAGGCAGATCTCTCTGAGTTTGAGGCCAGCCTGGTCTCCATAACAAACGAATCCAGGCCAGTTAGGGCTACAAGGAGACTGTCTCAAAAAGACCAAAAAAAAAAAAAAAACCTCAAAGCTTCAACTTTATATTGTCAACAAGATACACACTTCAGAAGCAAAGACACAAAGATATGCACAGCAAACAATAACCATAAAAGAGTGCAAGTAGGACTGCTCCATAATACCAGACAAAACAGACTTCAAAGCCAAAACATAAAAAGAGCTCATTTTACCTTTAAATCCAGCTGTTTCAGCTTGTTTATACATCCCAAGAAAAAAGTAGGTGCAGGCTAGGTTCACCCAGACTTCAGGGTTGCAATTTTCTTCCTTTGTTGCATTTTCATATTCCTGAAATAGACATTAAGTGGGGCTGGAGAAATGGCTCAGTGGTTAAGAACACTGGTTGTTCTTGCAGAAGATCTGGGTTCAAATCCCAGCACCCACGGGCAGCTAACAACTGTTAGTAACTCCAGTCCCAGGGGATCCGACAGCCTCTTCTGTCCTCCATGGGCATTGCACGACACAGGTGCACTTACCTACATGCAGGCAATACACACATACACATAAAATTTTTTAAAATTTTAATTAATAATAAAAAAAGAAATAGACATTAAGCAATGGTTTCATTTGGCCATAGAGTGGAACAGAATTTCTCACTGATTGAGCAGCCTAAATTCTGGAAATCCTGCATGCTCTCCAGCTGTTCTGTGCCTGACAAGGTTAAGCTTGGGTAAAACAAGGCTAGGCTCAATTCTCCCATACAGGGCTCTTGTCTACATCCTTTTATACTTTGTCTCCTTGTCTTTAGTAATGATATGCTAATAACTTCAAAAATGCAAACAGTTGAAATATTTTTGCTAACTTAAAGACATACAGGATCAGAGAGATAGTTCAATAAATAAAGGTGCTTGCCACAAAGACTGACCACCAGAGTTCAATCCCTGGGACCCCATGGTGAAAAGAGAGAACTGACTCCCACAAGTGTGCCAGGGTGCGCGCGCACACACACACACACACACACACACACACACACACAAATTAATAAGGCAATCAAAAAACATTAAAGACATACAAAAGAAAACATAGGTTCGGTTAACTTAAAAATTGTATTAAATTTAGCCGGGCGTGATGCTGGGACTACAGGCCTGTGCCGCCACGCCTGGCTTATTCTTACTTTTTATCAGTCTCAGATTCTTTGTGTCTTTTTCTTAATACATTTGTGTTACCCTTTCTTTGCACCTATACCTTTTACAAATCCTACTATTCTATTTTTTACAAATCCAGCCTATTCTGTACTTCTCACACCTCTGCTTTCCTTTTGTTATTCTCCTCAAATTCCCTTAGATAGATAAATAGATAGATAGAGAGAGAGAGAGAGAGAGAGAGAGAGAGAGAGAGAGAGAGAGAGAGAGATTGATTGATTTTTGAGACAGGGTCTCAACATATAGCCACACTGGCCTGGAACTTACAATCTTCCTGTCACAGCCTCCTGCCTGCTCAGATTAAAGAAAGGTATGCACCACCACATCTGGCTTTCTTTCAGTTACATTTTGAGAGTAAAAATACATGGGAAGTGTCTAGGGTAATTTCACTTATAAATTAAAATTTTCTTGACATGAGCCAGGTATGGTGGCGTATGCCTTTAGTCCCAGCACTCAGGAGGCAGAGGCAGGAGGATCTCTGTGAGCTCGACACCAGCTTGGTCTACATAGTGAGTTCCAGGCCAGCTGAAGCTCGGGGAGACCCTGTATGAAAAAATATCTAAACAAAAATTTTCTTGACATAAGGCATCTATGGCTTTATTTAGATCCATAATCCTATAATCATTTGTAGATGAGTAGAGTTTGTAATAACCAAGGAAAACAGCTTCCAAAGCAATTATCTTTACAAGAACTTTATAAGAGTACAGAAAGATGATATAATCTTTCCTATGCCTGAAAATAACCAAGAAAAATAAAAGGGGAATTCTTTTGAGAAAGACTCAAAACTTCTATCAAAATGGCTGTTTTTCCTCTTCTAAATATGCACTACAAAGTGCAGGGTGGACTACAGCTCAGCGGTAGAGCACTTGCCACACATGCCAGGTCTTGGGGTCAATCTCACAGAAATGCTAACAGGTTACACAATCTCATGTTTTACATGTATTAATTTATGTAACAATGGCCGGATGTAGTGGTGTACACCTTTAATCCCAGCACTCGGGAGGCAGAGGCAGGCAGATCTCTATTGAGTTCAAGGCCAGCCTGGTCTACATGGTGAGTTCCAGGACAGCTGGGCCTACAGGGAGACCCTGTCTCAAAAAGACCAAAGGAAAAAAAAATTATGTAAAGGCAAAAGTGAGATATATGCTCAATGCTCTACCATAGAGATTTTCTTCTTTTTTTGAAAGTTATTTTTTTTAAGGGACAGGCGTGGTGGCGCACGCCTTTAATCCCAGCACTTGGGAGGCAGAGGCAGGTGGATCTTTGTGAGTTCAAGGACAGCCTGGTCTATAAAAAAGATAAAAATAAAGTATTTGTCTCATTATTAATTTTTATTACTTTTTTTTGTTGTTTTTTTGAGACAGGGTCTCCCTGTAGCCCCAGCTGTCCTGGGGCTATGTACACCAGGCTAGCCTCAAACTCACAGAGATCCGCCTGCCTCTGCCTCCCAAGTGCTGGGACTACAGGCATGCGTCACCATGCCCTACGAGATAAATACTTTACAAAGAAGTTATTCTGCCCAGTTTCCCCTTTTAGTTTGTACATAATGTACAAACTAAAACACTTTTAGAAGGATCACTTATAGCATTCCAATATAACATCTTAATGTTTGATACAGTCTATATTATTTATTTATAATGGAAATTAGTGTTATGAAATGGTTTTAAATACAATTAAAAAAATAACTTTTTTCTTTTTCTTTTTCTTTTTTTTTTTTGTCTTTTTTGAGACAGGGTCTCCTTTTAGCCCCAGCTGTCCTGGAACTCACTATATAGACCAGGCTGGCCTTGAACACACAGAGATCCGCCTGCCCTCTGCTTCCAATTACTGGGATTAAAGGCGTGCACCACCACGCCTGGCTATACTTTAAAATTTTTTATTTTTTATTTTTTGAGACAGGGTCTCCCTGTAGCCACAGCTAGCCTGGAACTTGCTATTTAGACCAGGATGGCTTTGATCTCACAGAGATCTGCCTGCCTCTGCCTCCCAAGTGCTGGGATTAAAGGCATGTGCCACCATACCTGGCTCTAATATTATTTTTTTTTTCTTGGTCATTTTGAGACAGGGTCTCCCTGTAGCCCCAGCTGTCCTGGAACTCACCATGTAGTCCTGGCTGGCCTTGAACTCAGAGATCTGCCTGCCTCTGCCTCCCGAGTACTGGGATTAAGGCATGCGCCACCCACCTCGCTTATTTTTAAATTAACTTACAAAGTAGCAGGTTTCCCTAAAGCATTTTCATAGATATTTAGTCTCAACTGACCCTCCCCTCACCTCCTTCTCTAGCCTGTCTCCTGCTTCCCCACCGCACAATCCCCTAAATGCATACACACCCCATATTCCCCTTCCAGTTTTGCATTACAAGCATTCTGTTACCCTCCCTGCCCGTCTCTGAATGACTACATTAAGATGGGTCAGCAGATGCCTTTATTAGCAAAGAGTAGGACTGGGGAAGGCAGACAGCCATTTTGTCTTTTTACTCTGTTTCCTTCTACATTGCTTGGACATACCCTGAGGATGTACTTCTAACATCATTTTGAACACACTCCTGTTATATTTTTAAAACTAACCTCCAAAGCTCTCTTGTAATCACCCAGGTGAAAAGCGCAGTATCCAATCCACAAATTAGTGTCTTCTTCTTGTTCCCCAACATGGCGTTTGAACTTCAGGTTAAAATTTCATGGAAAAAAAAATCATGAAAACTTTGGTAAGCTTTTGTTTTTCATGGTATACTGAGTTACTGATGAACAATCAAAAAGTTAAGTAAAAGAAGCAGAAGCAAGCTGGGCGTGGTGGTGCATGCCTTTAATCCCAGCACTTGGGAGGCAGAGGCAGGCGGATCTCTGTGAGTCTAAGGTCAGAAGCTAAAATACACAGCCAAATTAAGCCTATGTCTAGAGGCATCAGCTCATCACCTTCTGTCATAGTTCATATTTTCTTTTTTTTTTTTTTTTGGTTTTTTTGAGACAGCGTCTCCCTGTAGCCCCAGCTGTCCTGGAACTCACTATGTAGACCAGGCTAGCCTTGAACTCAGAGATCTGCCTGCCTCTGCCTCCCAAGTGCTGGGATTAAAGGCGTGCACCACCATGCCGGGCTATAGTTCATATTTTTGAACGCTCCATGTTTGCTTTTTTATATTTACTGGCACCTTACTTCAGAAAGCATTTGTGTTATCTAATACTTCTGAAAGATACACAAGGAACAGAAGAATTATGTGACATATTTAAAGCCAAATAACCAAAGGTTAGAGAGGTCAAGCAATGATTCTAAGGTCACAGAGCCAGTCTATTTGGTAACAGGGACTTAAAGTAACGCCTTCCTCCAAAGCCCGTGTTCCTACCACTATGCTCTGCTGCACTCAGTCTCACACTTCCATCTTGTCCCATTGGCACATATGCATTTTTATTAATAGGTCATAACCTTCTCTGAAGATAAACCACGGAATCATTCTATCACCCCAGATCAGGCTAGTTTACAGGGCTATAAGAATAATTAAGGATATACAGAAGATAGTTCATGGAATCATTCTATCACCCCAGATCAGGCTAGCTTACAGGCCTATAAGAATAATTAAGGATATTCAGACCATAGACTCATTTATGCCCATTGTGAACAAAAATGAAGAATCCTTCAGCTAACAAAAGTCTTTCAAATTAAAGAACTGAGACTTTGAAGGATTCTGAATTACCATGTTCTAGTTTTATTTCTGTTGCTGTGACAAATACTCTGACCAAAACAACTTGAAGGAGGCTTATTTGGCTTACAATTCTAGGTCACAGTCCAATCAATTCTAAGCTATCACTGAGGGAAACTGGGGTAGGACCTTGAAGGCAGGCCTGCTTTCTAGTTCACACATCACCTGGAACCCTCTTACCAAAGAACTCACTGCACAGCCAAAGTAAGGCAGGAACCATGGAGGGTGCTGCTTGCGGGTTGGCAGACAGGCTTATGCTCAGCTAAATTTTCTTATACAGTTCAGGATCACCTACCTAGGAAATAGTGCTGTACACAGTGGGCCAGATCCTTCTATATCAATTAACAATCAAGACAATCCCCCACAGACATGCCCACAGGCCAATCTGATGTAAGTTATTCTTCAATTGAGAGTCTTTTCCCAGATAATTCTAGATTATGTCAAGTTGATGTTTAAATCTAACCAGGACACCATGGTAAGGTGAGGACTTTTTTTTAAAAAAAGATTTAACATATGTTGTTTTTAATTAACAGTAATTTTACACAAGGGATAAAGCATGGTATTTCCGTATACGTATGATGCAATGCTTGATTTGCTCCTTCTCCTTGGATATTTGTGTTTTGTTGTGTTAGAAACATTCAAATTTCTCTCTACTAGCTATGCAAATAACTGATGTCAATCTTAGTTCTCCTAATATACTATGGAACATTAGAGGCTATGCTTATCTTCCCATTAGACTCATTAACCACACTCTATTGTCCCCTTAGGTGAGGACTTTTTTTTGTTTTTGTTTCTCACTCTAGAGGGTAATAAATCAAATAGTGAGTCATATTCACAGACTATCACTACAATCTAGTTATTACAAGATGAAGATGACATCCCTTTGATTGGGGTGGTGGGATGGGAGGGTGAGATTTGCTCTTCTCACCAAATGCTGTGAATTTAAGTAGAGTGCCTTAAATCTAGAGAAATTCTTAAAGTCTCCCAGAATTTGTCCTAGGAAATCCCTGGAGCTAAAAGAAAGCTCATAAGACTTTCCCTCAAAACCATGGTAAGTCCTGTTCCTATACAAGCAAGCACCTAAGAATTTAGGCAGAGCAAAGACCCTCCCTATGACCTTAAAGACACTCTATAATCACACAATAAGAAAAATGTGGTCATTATCTTAGAGAAAAAAATGAACTGACAAGAATGCATGCACTGGTATTAAGTCCACTGACTTACACAGCTAGAAGGTTCTTCCAAGACAACTCTCCCACTGTGAGATGAGTCACCACAAAGTTAAACAATGGACTCAATGCCAAAGCCCTAGAAAGACACATAGGACTTTTGCTATGGAAGAGTGGGAAATATATCGCTAATCAAAGCAATTGTCACTGATAGGCTCATAGTTGTTTGCAGTAATATGGCCAGTGTAGTGTTTTGGAGAAAGGCAGTATGATACACTCCAACACAGTACAACCAGACCATGCTGTCAAAACTTTCCATCCTTTAGCATACCCCTGTACTCTTCTTTACCCTGAGCTTTTGTGAATGGAAGTTTCCAGAAAACCATGCCTTCAAACTGAACCTTCTTCTGCAAGGCTGATCAACTGATCAGAGCTTCACTGACTGAAGAGTCTGAAATATTGCAGGTCCACAGTCTAATTACCATTATCTCGGGCTATCTTTAGCCCCATTCCTTGTCTACATCTGTTTCTGTTTCATCTTGTGACTAACAGATAAAAAACCTTTTGGAAAGTATTAACTAGCAGACCACCAGCTACCATCAACCTAAAGGCTAAGAATGTCATCAGCTAGCACCTGAGGCCTATAGCAGAATTCTCCCTGCTTTTCTATGACTCGCCTACTAAATGTACCTACCAATGTACTTGAAAGTGTGTTGACTTATGACTTTCTTTGCCCTGTTACTATAAAAAGTTCATGAAATGGCTACCTCATTGGAACACGGTATTTGGGGAAACCTAAATCTATGTTCCTGGGCCACAGTCACTCATATTTGACTCCAAAATAAACTATCTCTGTTATTCCTTTGAGGTGAGAGCCATTTATTTCATTGACGCTTCCCAAGAGCTATAGTCTCCTTAGGACCATTTATGTCAGAAGCTCTTAGACTACTTACTTAAATTGCAGATTCCTGAGTATCACCCAATGAATCCAAATTATTAAAGTGGTAGCCCAGGGAAATAAAGAGCAACTACCCTTAGCACTTCCAATGCATATTAAAAGGTGAGAACTCCTGGGATGGGGCTGTAGATCAGTGACGGAATGCTTATTAAGGCCCTGGGTTTGATTCCCAGCACTAATTTTTAAAAAGCTGATAATTGGCCAGGTGTCATGTCACAAGCTTTTAATCCCAGCATTCAGGAGGCAGAGGCAGGTGGATCTCTGTAAGATCAAGGCCAGCCTGGTCTCCATAGAGAATTCCAAGCTATTTGGGGGTATAGGGAGACCTTGTCTCAAAATACAAATAAATAAATAAATAAATAAATAAACCAAAAAACAAACAATAACTTACAATTACTGCTAAACAGAGTTGAAATGTTTTATGGGGGTACAATATTCTTAAAATAAGCATGGTAGGGGGCCTGGAGAGATGGCTCAGCAGGTAAGAGCGCTGACTGCTCTTGCAGAGGGTTTGATTCCCAGCACCCACATGGCGGCTAACAGCCATCTATGACTCCAGTTCCAGGGAATCCAGTACCTTCTTCTGCCCTCCATAGGCATTGTACTACATGGGTATACTTACACGCATGCAGGCAATACACTTATACACATAAAAATAATAAATTAAAAAATAAGCATGGTAGGATTACTTAATTTTTGCCCAAAACTTTATAATTGGAAGAAATCATAAATCATTCAAGAGCTGTGATAAACAATGTGTGACTTGACACTGCATTAAGTGTCATGCTATATGTTTTGGTTACATTCACTATCTGTGGGACTACAGAATTTTTTAAAAATTTTATGTGTATGCATGTATTGCCTGCATGTAGGTAAGTGAACCTGTGTCGTGCAGTGCCCATGGAGGACAGAAAAGGCTGTCGGATCCCCTGGAACTGGAGTTACAAACAGTTGTTAGCTGCCATGTGGGTGCTGGGATTCGAACCCAGGTCTTTTGCAAGAACAGCCAATGTTCTTAACTGCTGAGCCATCTCTCCAGCCCTAGGACTACAGAATTTTAAAAAGAAAAAAAAATTTTTTTTGTCTTATTGAGACAGGGTCTCCCTGAATCCCCAGCTCTCCTGGAACTCAATATGTAGAGCAGGCTGACCTCAAACTCACAGAGATCTGCCTGCCTCTGCCTCCCAAGTGCTGGGATTAAAGGCATGTGCCACCACACCCGGCCAGAATTGTTTAAAGTCTTGAATTGGGTTTATAGTTAATTTGGAATCTGGAATTTATAGCTGACTACATTTACTAAGGGGACCCAGAATTCACCCACCTGCTCCATCAGTATAGTAACCAACATTTACCCCAGCATTCACCAGACTAAGAAGTAAATTTCTTTGGACATTACCTCCAGTAGGGTAATAGCGCCTGTGAAATCTCTTTGTGAAAGTAGATCCTCTAGGTCTGGAATCTTCCTACCTTTTTTCTTCCTTTCTTCGGTGTGCTGAGATTCCCCGCCTACAGCAGGTTTGGCCCTTGAAAGCATCTGGAAAAGAAACAACAAAGACATCCGTATCTGCAATGGTCAGTTTTAAACTCAGAGTGACAAGTTCGGTGATTTACAAGTCTAATCCTTAACAGCAAACCCCTAGGGAAGTCTATTCAAATTCGAAAACAGCCATCACCCGACACTAAAGGCGATCCAAACAGCTACTCCCACTCCTTTAAGCACAAGAAGTGAACATGGCTTCTGCCATCACTGCCTCCCTCGCTCTGCTTTCCATCCCAAAAGCAGATCAGGTGTGGGGAAACGAGAAGCAGGCGGGAGGAAAGCTTGCAGATATTTACCTTAGCATCCCACCCAATTCCCGGTAGAAACACTGGAGAATAAAGCGATCACCCTCTGTAGACACACCCAGACTTTCTCCAAGTGTGTCAGGTATCTCTAACCTCCAGTCTCAAACCTATTCGGAGTTCTCCCTCATTATTCAGAGCCACTAACCATCTTGGCGTCGGTCCTGTGAGACCCTTCTGCAGATAGACAGCAAAGGCCGTGCCTCAGCACATCGCCACATCTACACAGCGCGCTCTGTCTCCAAGGCAACGCCGCCTGGAGGCTGGTCCTTCTTCGAGAAGAGCTCGGCGGAGAACTAGTGTCCTACGCTTTTTGGTTCCGAGCGTTTCCGCAGCTGGGAAAGTGGAATTTACTCTCATAGGAGGAGATTGTTGTTGTTTGCGGAGGACGAAAGTGAGGTTGTGTCTCTCCATAGGAAATTAATTTAGGAAAAGGCGAGTAACAGTTGCAATTAGGAATTGTATTCCCAAAGCAAGTTTCTTGAGAAGGTAATTTTCAGGGACCACTTCCGTCCATTTTTTGGTTCCATAACAGACCCAGACACTGTCTGGTACCCCGTCTCTGTTTTCTGTGGATGCAGGAAGCACAGAAAAGTATCTGTTGAACCAGAGTTGCCATTTGGAGGCGGAAGTGACACCAAAAGAATTCCCCTAAACACACCCCCACAACACAATACGAAACTGCAATAATATTTGTTGTTTAGACCACTGGATTTATCCCGAACCCAGTTAACATGGCTGCAATGCTTTTAAAAAGTCAAGGATTCGCGAAATGTCAGAGGGAGAAGAGACTTCAGAGGACTTAAGAGTCAACTCTTCAGAATGAACATAGCCACTAAAGAGCTAACATTTCATTAACAACGGGTAAAATGGAGTAATTGTGACAGTCGAGTCACTTTGCATGCCATTTTTGAATAGTCCTACAGAGACCTAAATATACCATAAACTCATTGGAAGGCAAATATGACTTCTTAGATTTCTTTGCACAGTCCTTGCAGTCTCAATTTCTCCTCTCTTCTCTGCAACCAGAGAGTGAATGATTACTTGTCTTAGATTGTTATGGAGTTTGAAACCACTGGGAAAAAGATCACCAGACCCAATTCAAATTTTAATTGGTCAAATTTATTAGGGCTATAGCCATCTGTGTTCCCTTAATCAGATGCAGGACCCATGGCCCCCAAGGGGAAGGTGACTAACTTATAAAGGCAAAAACCACAAATACAGTAGGAATTTCATCATACATGAGTAATGCCAGGTGGTCCTGAGTATGGTCAGGACGGCCCAAGTTAGCAGATAAGCAAACTACAGAAGGCAGAACAAACTTATGTTAGTCCTTCTCTTAACAGATGTATAGAGACCTTGATAGTAAGGCACTTTCTGATATTTTTTTTTTTTTTCTTTTTAGGCTTCTTGGTTAAGCAATGCAGCTGTAGTGACCAAGGTCAGCTACTCCAAAGAAAGCAGTCTTCTAAGGGGTAGCAACTAAGTTCAGGTACTTAACCTTGAAGCTGGCTGTTTTTCTAGTTTTTGAAGCTTAGAGTGGCTACTTTACACAAAATGAAGTTACTTTGGCTATTACAATTTGGGGGACTCTATTTGGGGCCATTACAAGTTTAACAATTGATGTCTGCACTTTTGTATATATACAAACCACATGGATATACAGAGATACAGAAAGGCACTTGTACCCACTTCAAAAATTCTATTAAAGCCAGGCATGGTGGCACATGCCTTTAATCCCAGCACTTAGGAGGCAGAGGCAGGTGGATCTCTGTGAGTTCAAGGCCAGCCTGGTCTACATAGTGAGTTCCAGGACAGTTGGGGCTACAGAGAAACCCTGTCTCAAAAAAAAGACCAAAAAAAAATTTCTATTAAAAAATTAAAGCCCGGGGGGCGATGGTGAACACCTTTAATTCCAGCACTCTGGAGGCAGAGGCAGACTGATCTCTGTAAAATCATGGCCAGCCTGAATTCTATAGTAAGTTCTAGGCCAGCTGTGGCTATAAGGAAACCTGTCTCAAAAAGACCAAAAAATAAAAATAAAAAACAACCAAAGTAGGCCCCATCCCTTGCTGAGGAGTTTTTGGAAGTTGATGGCTTCTGGGGAGAGAGTCACTTTTCTTTGGGATGTGGCCACTGCTGGATGGCCCCATGCTCAGGCTTCTACGGGAGGCATTAATTAGACTCCCTTGGTTTTTTTTTTTTTTTTTTTAAAGAAGAGGACATGAAGTTGGGAGGAAGATGTGTTGAGGGGGCCCAAGGGGACCTGGAGGGGGTGAGTGAGGAGTGGATATGATAAAAACATACTGTATATAGCATGGAATTTTCAAAGAATAAATAAAAATATTATTTAAAACCATACAAAAAGAATGTCTTGGGTTGGGGGAGATGGCTCACTCATTAAAGTTCTTGGCTGGAACCTGAGTTCAGATCCCCAGCACTCACATAGAAAAACTGGATGTGGCAACACACCTCTGTAATCTCAGTACCAGGAAAGCAGAGAAAGATGGATCCTAACAGCTTGTTGGACAGCCAGTCTAGCTGAATTGATGAACTCCAAGTTCAAGAAGATAACAGCATGTGGTTGGAGATCAGAGGACAACTTTGTGGAATCAGTTCTCTCCTCTGCCTTTACATGGATTCTGGATATTGAACTCAGGCCATCAGTGCTTCATCCCCTTTTCCAGTCAAATAATATCTCATCATATGAACATACTAAAACTAGCTTAAGTTTTCTATATTTTTCTTTGTTTCACTGTGTAACCCTCACTGGCCTAGAACTCATGATGTAGACCAGGCTCACCTCGAATTCACAGAGATCCACCTGCCTCTGCCTCTGGATTAAAGGTGTGCGCCACCGCACTTGGCCGAAGTCCTCATATTATTTAAAGCCATTAGTGCAAAGTAAGCTTTGAGAGCTTTAGCCTCATACCCAGTGTCCTGCAGTTCACAGCACAGCTTCCATCCTATTCTGCCTTGAGTTAGATTGGAGGAAGATGCCAAGCCATGAACATTCTCTAGATACAGTCTACTGCTTTCCCTGCCTGCCAGTCCCAGTCCTGCTGTGACTTCCATGTATTATTTTTTATTTTATTTATATTTTATTTTTATTTTATATGTATGTTTGTTTTGCCTACATGTAGGTACATGCACCATGTGTGTACAGTGCCCATGGAGGCCAGAAGAAGGCATCAGATCCCCTGGAACTGGAGTTAAAGACCATTGTTAGCTACCATGTGGGTGCTGGGACCTGAACCTGGGTCCTTTGCAAAAGCAGCCAGTGCTCTTAACCTTTGAGCCATCTCACCAGCCCCAATATTTTTTTCCTTCTTTTTTTCTTTTTTTCTTTCTTTTTTCTTTCTTTCTCCCTCCCTTCCTCCCTCCCTCCCTCTCCCCCTCCCTCCCTCCCTCCCTCCCTCCCTTCCTTCCTTCCTTCCTTCCTTCAATCACATGAAAAGCACTGATCTTATGCGTAATCAGGAAAATGTGCATTAAAACTACAAGGCGATACTACACATCCTTAAAATCACTATAATTTAAAGAGCAACCACACCAATATGCACTGTTCTTTAAAGATTTCCACTTACCCATTAGCTCTCTCCAGCCCCAAACTACCTGGTATCTATGGTAATCCTGCACTCTATATCTGCTCTTTGTACTTAGTCCGTTCATTCCTCCTTTAGACAGGATTACTGACCCAGCACCCAGTGACACGATTATCCACCCAACATCCACTGATGTTACTACCTACCCAATGTCCATTGGCATGACACCCATCCAGCATGTATGCACAGTATTACTTACCCAGCATCTGCAGTCAGCTCACTGAATTGTTTAAAGTGATTAACATTCTTATTTCAGTTTCTGGTAAGTGTCTGACTTGGGTGGGTCTGACTCAGAGTCTTTCATGAGGTAAACTCAAGCTGTCAGCCTAGGCTGTTGTCATATGATACCTTGACTGGGGATGATATCCTTTCCTAGTGGTTCACCCACATGCTGGGAAGTTGGCACTGGTTGTTGGTGGGAGGGCTTAGCTACTTGCCACACGGACCTTTCCAAAGGGTGGATTGAGTGTCCACACCACTTGAGTGTTGGCTTCCCCAGAGTTAGGAATTGAACCAACTGTGAGCAAGGGGGGAGCCACAATACTTTTTATGGCCTTACTTTTCAAGCCACAGTGTCATTCTGATTACACAGATCACGCTGGTACAACATGGAAGGAGACCACACAAGGGTGTAGATACCTGGCAACAAAACTCACTGGAGTCCAGTTGGCTACTCACCCCAGGCCATCAACCCCAGTGCTAGAGTCCAACATCTTCATTTCTTCTGCTCTCAGACTAGTGTTACTGAGAGGTTTGCAGTCTGAAGTTCCTCATTTCAATACCGAAACCAAAGTCTAAACATATCCTGAAAAACTGGCATAGCCCTTCTCTCTATAGTTAGATCTTTCTCCCCTATTGAAAAACATCATCTTTTCCTAGTTCAGTTCTGGCCATTACATGGGTGCAAGCTAGGGAAGGTCCCTGTGGCTGCCCCTTGCTTCTGTCCTCCCTGTCATCTGATCATGTGACTAATGCCTCTCCCACTCACATATCTACCATAGAGCACCTGTTTGGCACGGACTTTGAACACTCCACCTGACTCAACTCAGATGTCTATGTGCTTTTCATTTCTATGACTTAGCATAGCTGACTCATCATAATCTGTGTGTTTTGCTGCCTTCTGATTGATATAGCTTGCTACACAAGTGTGTGCTAGTAACTCCAGCTTTGTGCTCTCCACAGATTCATGTTTTTGAAACTTTCACACATGCCCAGATCTTCCAGTAAAGCAACACCAAACAACAGTGAAGAACAAAAACAGTAAAACTCTGAGAATAATAAACAAAAACAAAAGCAATTAAACAACAAATTCTCCCTCTGATAGCATGAAAAGTTATTTCTTTCCTTCCCTCCCCTCCCCTTCTCTCCCCTAGTGGGAGGGGCACCAGTGTCACCAAGTTCAGTGGTGTTGGCATGATAGCACAAGCTCAGCTACTTAGGAGGTTGGAGGAAAAAGTTTTGTGAGACCAGCCTGTAAAAAAAAAAAAATGCAAACAAACAAACAAAACCCAAAGGCCTATCACTGCTTTTCCCTGTAGGACATGACTGATGGAGTGAAACACTGTCCTCAGAGTTGGCACATTAATAGTAACAAGTCTAGGACCTCTAAGACTGTACCAGACCCCAGTCAGTGGTACTCAGAGCAGAAGCTGGAGGATTATAATTACAAAGAATGGGAGACACTCTGTAAAGAACTGGGAGATTGTGAACAGAAAATGTATGAGTAGTCAACAAGATATGGTTTAATACACATCCTCTGGGAAGAAAAAGGGCTTAGTAAAGAGGCCCAAGGCTGATGGTACACACCTGCAA